GGCTCCGGACGGAAGGGAGGGACATTCTAGGGGATCCAAAGGCAACCAAAAACGGCAGAACCTTCCAAGAGTCCTACATCCTACAAATATTAACTGTTTCATGTCGACTCCTGATGTTGAACATCTCCCAATTCAAAAGGCTCTTCATACGGGCGGGGGATATTATATTCAAGAGTCTACAAGTCTACATTAGAGTGAGATCAGCAAAATATGGCGGGTTGTTGTTTTAGTGAGCTGATCATTTCTATTTCAAAGCCTGCCCTGCTTGTGATGTTTGATGTGGATCAGACGGATTTAGCGAATGGTATTGAGGTGTCGCTCATATGTTTAGCCTAAAGATCCTAAAGAGAGGGTGTTTATTTGTTTTTTCGTGTGTCTACTTCTGCCCTGAAATCATGTCTCAGTCTTTCTCCACCAGAAAAACGAAAACACACACAACAAGAAACTGAAAACACTGCTTTTTTTCACTCAAGATTTGTTCTGCCCGTGCCCACCGTTTCAAAACCAGGGGCCATATTTCCGAACCATTGGCAGGAGATTGAGTACACCGACAAGTACAATATGGCCTCAAAGCTGAAGAGAAGGCACGGCATGGGCCATTCAACATCGAACCGTCGATCGATCCGCAGGGGCAGGATGACATGTTGAACATCTCAGCAATGTATCCACAGGAGGCCCAGTCAGAGTTGGAGGTGTTCCTCTTGGGTTCATTGCCAGACAGGATGCATCTACCAGGCATGATCTATTTGCAATAGTCATTCGCTAGCATGCCCTTCTCAAGCTTGCTCATCCCAGGACAACCTTGGTAAAGCTCAGATTCACTGGTCACCAATAATTGCTCAGGGCAGAACTACCTGGTGACCGAACCTCCTGGGATGCATCGGATTGTTCGGTGACCACGGTGTTGGTTCAGAAGGCTTGAGACGGTCATTCCCCCAAAAAAAGGACTCAAAAAGGGACGTTTTATTATGGACTAATTACCCAAGAAACGTGGATTAGCTGCGCTGCTATTCATTCACATGCTGCTGTTTTGGAGGTCTTTAGGGTACCATCTCTCCGCAAAAGTGGTTGGAAGTACCGCGCCCGTGGTCGCTTGTCCCAGTTCGAGAACTGGTTTCACTGCTCGCGTGAGGCTATGGCTGGCCGCTGGGGGCGTTTTCGCACTGGTGGTCTTTGGCTCGGTTTTGAGCTCCTGAGCCGCTGAGCGGAGCCTCTTCCGTCCAACTCGGGCACGCCAGAGTTCGGGAGGAAGGACACCACCCACTACCACGACCACCTGACAGCCTGACAGCAGCAAGGGCAGAAAGAAGCGAAGGAGTACTGAAGAGATCAGAGGATAAACATTCAAAAGTTCTTCACAAATAGTGCATAGCTTTGTCCTCTTCCACATGGAATGTTGGGCTATGTTGGACTGAGTCTCTCCATGCACTGATGAAGATGAAGGCTGCACTGCAGCCAGCTGAAGTGTTCACATTCCAAATGTGAACCGAATAGTCAACAGTCCCAACCTGGGGAATTCTCAGCAGGCCTATCTCGTTGGGGTTCTATAATTATATAGTATTATATAGTTGTTTTTTTGTTCACAGTCACTTAATTTTGAGCACCCCCAAGAACATCAATTGATTTCACCGCCGAAGTTGGTGTGTCTTCAAAGAGTCGACTCGTTGAGTGAGCTTTCAGAAGCTCCAGTCTCATCCAGTCTCCACATCAATCCCTTCCATCCAGCACTCCCCAGGGTCAATGAAAGCAAAAGTGAACTGCTGGGGAGATGATGGGGGAGAAGATGATCGGGGAAGGGATTCTTCATGAGGTGTGGTATTTTCTTGTCTGTGTCTCAGATGATGATGTCCTACAGTCCTACAGGAGATTCTGTTTCAATTTGTTCAGATCCAACAACATGCCCTAAAGCAAGGCCACCCAGAGATCCACCTACAAGACCTACAATCCAGGCTGCCTGATGAAGTATCTCGTTCATTGGAGGGGATGGCCCTTGACTTATCATGTTTCTTTGTCACATTTGGACCACACCTCAGATTTGTTCGTGTCAGCCTTGGAGGTCTCTCAAGCGGCGGCCGGATCGGATCGAACGGCACTTTGGATCAGGTTTCGGTGGATCTGCTTATTTGGGAGGTTCCAGAAAATACACGGGCACCATCTGGGGTCGGCTCCATTGTCTGCAGCTGGTGGAGGGTGGTGCAGCTTTTTGTTCCAAAAAAGATCAAAAGAACCACATGTCTTCCAGATGCTGCACCCTAGGGCTCCAAGGGCCTTCTGAGAAGGTGGGACTGGGGTGGGTTTGGAGGGTCCAGTCATACCTTCTGAGGAGGTACGACTGGAGCCCTAGGGGCGGGGTTGCATCGAGTCACGTCAGATGAATGTCCCGCGAGTGAAAACGAGTTGGAACCTGCTCCGGACGGTTCGACCACGAAACGAAGGAAATCAGAGGGGAGGATTTGTTGGAGACTAGCTTCTTTGTTACTACTAGTAAGGCACCTGTTACTACTAGCGTGGCACCTGTTACTACTAGCGCGGCACCTGTTACTACTAGCGTGGCACTTGTTACTACTAGCGTGGCACTTGTTACTACTAGCGTGGCACTTGTTACTACTAGTTTCCATGTTAGACCATGGAAATTCGTTCTTTCCATGCGTCGGGGAGGATTTGCGAGCTCTCTCGCTTCCGAACTACACAGTTGTCGTCAGACCAGTTTCTTCAGTTCGTGACCAGTGTCTTCATGGAGTCCCTATCGATTACAGACCGGTCCAAGTGGACCGAACTTTGACAGGTCCAAGTGATGGCCGAAACCAGGATGTAGTTCGGTCACCTCGAAAGGCCAGGGTCGATTTGACGATGCTGATCAATTTGAATATGTGACGATTTGTGGGATTTTGAGAAGCATGAAAGAACAGGCTCCCCTCCATGAGCATGACAGATTGAAACTCAGAACCTGCTGGATGTTGTTCTTTCGGTTCTTTGAACTGCTTGGAACTCAGAGTCGAAGGAGGGGAATCCTGCGATGTTGTGTTTGTGTTCTTATTGATTTATTTGAACTTAAGCGTGTTTTCCAGCAACTGGAGTTGTGAACATGTTGTGAACCACAGACTGTCACCGTCTCACTATATTGTTCGGAACTACGAACACACTTCTCACTATAGGGTAGGTGGACGTCTTGCATGAACCTGCCTACATTGGTTCCATAGTTTGCTCACCTTCCCCACAGTTGGGCTCCTTCTACTAGCTTAATCTCCTTTTCTTGATCGATTAGTTTTTTGATCCTTGGCCGGCTGCTCTCGCTGATCCAGAGTTGTCACCCGCTCAACGTGCTGGGCGCAGGGGCGCAGGAGGACTTGAAAGGTTGGTCAGAAGATGTCAGAAGTGGCTTCGCAGAATGCTTCGTTGGCACTCTGGATTCCATTTCGGAATGTGGTTGTGTCTCAAAAGAAGGTACTCGCTGACGGAAAGAGGAACGAATTACTGTGCCCATTCAGATTCTTGATTCCAATTGACCATCCTACAGTCTTTCTGCGCCTCACGCCACCCACGCCGTGCGCGCCCGCCGTGTGCTCGCGGTTTGTTCATAGAAGACTCCTACGCTGTCAGAGTGAAGTCGATCCAGATGGGTAGGTCTCTAGAGGGATCCATTTAGACCATTGAGAGGGGATAAAATATAGACCATTGAAATTGAGAGCATGTCATTCCCTCATATTCCCTCATTCATCCTCATTCGCAAACATGTCATCAATCCTTGGATCCTTATTCGATCCTTATAAATTATAGCGACCGTATGCCAACGTACGTGTGTCTCAAACAGCTCGGCTTTGCTGCTTGCAGCGTCTCTTGTGGATCCCGTTGGCTGCGACCCCAAAGAAACCGTCGGCTGCCGCTTTGGGGAGTTCAGCAGGCTTTCGTGTTCACTGCTTGGGAACCCATGCTTTGATCGCTGACCATGGGTTCTGTGAGTTGGCTCCACGGCAAAGATGGGAATGGAATGGCATGGACATTTCTATCCCTAGGGATCCAGTCGTACCGAACAGAAGGTACGACTGGAACCCTCCAAACCTCCGTGACAGTGTCGAACACATCACCTGAGAAGGTACGACTGGATCCCTAGGATATAAGTATTCCTACGCAGATTCCTCAACCCTTTGCGCAGGTGACCGGTGACCGGTTGCAACAGTTGTGCTTGGATCCGGTATTCCATCATTCCATCTACTCAGCTCCTCACAGATGTGACCCAGAATGGTCCACAACCCCCCCCCGCTGCCAAGGCCTCTAGGTGTCCTAGGAAGGCTGTGAGTCATGGAGGTGCTCCCCCACGAAACTATGAGTTTCAGCATGTCCCAGCAGTTTTAAACATTTTTAACGTGTGAATGTTTGTAATGTTTTGTCCGGTAGATCTTGTTTTGTTCAGTGCGTTGGAGGTGGCCCATGCTAGCATTTCTCACAAGATTTCTCATGGTACTGGCTGTTTTTGATGCTCAGAGCCAGTCGACGCCGGTCATCTCGTCTCTTTCTATTTGTTGCTTGCAGCGACTTTGCACAGCTCAAGAGCGTTGCTACATTGACCTTCATGAGTTCCACTGTGTAGGTGATCAATCTACCAGACAGGTTTGCTGCGCAAGCAGGTTCTGAAGCCTTTTTGAAGGGTGTACAGTAGAGTCGAGTTCATGGGGATGCATGGATTTAAAGTCAAACCTTGAAAAAATACTGAAGCACGGGGTGTTTGGATATCCACCCACAGACAGATCTATCCAGGGGCACGCTGAAGTTCGTGCCCGATGATCAATATGTTCACAAGTATTTGGCAGGAAAGGCTGTGGCATGCAAGCTAAAAGCCACATATGTCCTGGACCCATTTAGGAACCCCTTTTCAATGGTATCGTTTCTCATTGCATGAGTCTGATTGGTGTCTGATTGGTGCACGTGTGAGGATCTGTCTTCCAGGAATTCTCAGAATCTCTCCCACCTTGCAAATAGGGCGGTGGAACAGCTGTCAATCAGCGCCATTCTTTGCCTAGACCAAGAGTTCGAGAACCCTCGCGAGCCATTCGATCGTCTCGCCCACCACACCTCGTGAGATGTGCACCTGGGCAGCCGAGATTGACAGTTGCAGCTAATGAGGAAGTACGGGGACCGCCTGCAGGTCACCTTTTGAAGGATTTTGAGGGATTGGGGACACCCCACTCCAAAGCCCAACTGGTGGACAACGGGTACAGAAAGTGTTGGATAGAAACTCAACAACCCAGACGCTCATGGACCCTGCTAAGTAGGGGCCGTACCTTCATATGGAGGGGTCCGGACCCGAACCAATCCCTATCATTTTGAGGGACCAGATCGGCCTGTGAACGGAGCGTTTGGGGTCCGGACCGTGCCAACCCCCCTTTTCAGATCCAGTTCCAGATCCGGGGGTGCCAACCCGTGGCCGATCCCACCCGGGGTGCCGTTTCTTCGGTGCCAAAAAACACGTCACACCGGTGAAAACCCGGGACGAAGGGACGAAGGGACGAGGAGAAGCGAAGCTGTGACTTCTGGTTGGTGACAACCTCTACTTTCCCGAGTCCACCGAGTCCACCGAGTCCGTTCTGGCCTAACCGAAACGGAAAGCGAAACGCTAACAGATCCACCCAGGTGATGCTGGTACGCAGCGAAAGGCGCAGAATGTGTGGAAGCTTGCCTTATCCGGCCTCGACGGTCGCTGCATTGGTCACCATGCATGGGTAAAAGCTGGATGTGTCGGCCATCACTCAATGTCTCTCCCAACAACGCGAATCCAAAGAACTCGCCAAGAAAATGCCCTCAATTGGGCTCGATGGGATTTGTACTGAGGGGCGAACATTCAAGACGCTAAAAGTCGTTCACACAAAAATTATAAAACTATTACGAAAACATGCAGCTGTATTAAATTAGAGATCCATTAATTACATAACTTAAAAAGCAGTTTGCTCCAAATTGCTGCCAGCTGCGTATGATGGCGATGCCGTGGCTCGAGCGGACCGAGGTGACCCCCAGTATTTATGGGTCCCCTCGACCCCTCGACCAGTGGGCCATGTCCAAGAAAGCAGACATCAACAAGGGGATGGAATTTCCAGCAGTGGTATATATTGGAAGGGAGTTTGGAAGGGAGAAACATCGTCAGGGGTGTCTTGTAAACCACCCGAACTCCGTAGTGTTGGCTAGGTTGGACTCTCTTGGGGACACGTCGACACGGCTCCCTATGTGGTTTGAGGCGCCACCCCATCCTCCAAGGGCTTTGGGGGTGGTTTACCATTGCTTTACGATTTTTACACGGTCAATAATTTTGTTGATGGTCTTGGAAGGCTCGGGGTTCTGACAGTCGGTTTGTCATGGGGGCTCTCTTGGGTCCTGAATGGGGTAATTAGTTTTTTGGTTTCAAAAGAACGGGCATTCCATCCATCCATCCATCCATCCATCCATGGCACCCCAATGGCTTCATCCGAATCCCATCCATCAATCCATGGAATCTGGTCGACTGGGCGCCCTGGACGGGTCGCGCAAGGAACGGCTGGCTGGACGAGCGGGACCTGGCGCCCGGCGAGGCGGGAGCGAGCGCACAGCGCCCCGAGTCGAGCTGTGGAGCCGTCGGTGGACCTGGTGACCAGGTAATGCCCAGACACTCCATATTTACTGTACATATATGTACGTACTCGTACAGTATACCCGGTAATATACCCCTTTTCAACCACCCCAAAGTAGGCAAATATGCCAGTCCAATTGAAGTTGGTGGGGGATTCTGGAGGTTGGATACGTATCTAGACAACTTCCCATCAATGAGCGAGTTAAAACTTGCACACTATACAGGGTGTCACAATGGTTGTTCGGTAAAAACACAAAAATGGTGGACCAGGAATCCTTGGTGTCCTCCTTAGTTTTTGTTTTGTCCAAAACAAGATGACGCAGACAGAACGTCTGGGCTATCCGCATGCTCTTTCAGCATGCGTATTGCGCGTCAAGGAACCTCGTGTCAAAGACTGGGAGCCCTGAGCCCATCGTCGTTTTGTTTTTCCCGTTGAAGAAGATTAAAGACATCCTAAACAGCCTTATTGTGACTAGCAGCCATGGCCTCCAACCTACTAGCGATGGCCTCCACCTAGTAGCTTCTAGTAAAGACTCAGCTGTCAATCATTTGATGCCATCTCATCCCATCTCGAGGTCACCGGGATTGAGGTCTCGGGGTGGACATGTTTCCTGAACATTGAGGTGGATCTTCAAACCCATGGGCATTGGGATCCTGTTTCCGTATGGCAGGGCCTGCACACTGTGTTAAGGATCAGAAGGTTGAGTCACACTCACAAAATCAAGCATCGGCGAGGAAGCACATGAAGCATTTGACGGCATGTGTGTTCCAAGGTGTTTTCAATTTGTCACCCATACAGTCATCATCGTGCATCTATGATGTTGCCTCGCGCGGATCGTGTTTCGTTCACCATCAATGTGGATCGACCAGGCTCTCCCCAGTAGCATGCAAGGTTCGGCTTGAGCCAGGAAAAGCGTTTGAGACATCGATGCTCACAGCGGGGGCCCAGACGTTTCCAGAACAAGTCAGCTCAGCTCGGTCATTGCTCGCTCCATATCGCTGTCCCAGCTGTTCCACGGACCCAGCTACGGACCCGCCAGATCATCTCCAACTGGCTGAAGCGCCACACACAGCGTGGCCTCTCTTTGGCCGCCGAGCCTCTTGGACTGTAAAAGCGCGCTGTTCAGTGTGCGGTGCGACTAAAAGCGCCACATTTCGGCTCAAAGTTATTGAAAGACCAGAGACCTTCAAAGTCCTGATAAAGGGAACATAATTAAGGGAACCTTGTTGCTGATCAATCGTGGGTGTGAATCATGTTGATTTTTTGCGTTTTTTCTAACTTCCCAAAACATTCCCAAACTATGATGTGTTGACAGAGTTGAAAGAAATTGTGGAGAAGGGACGTCGCGTTTGAATTGATGCCTGGGTTCTTCTACGTTCTTCCAGCAAGAGTACTACCACAGCTTGCGGCTCCTATTTTCAGGGTCCTTGCATGGTACCAAGTGCTTGCGTCACTGGGGTGGCGATCCAGCGCAGAATTGTCATAGGCCTGTTGGGGGAGTCCTTCACTATGAATTGCAAAATTGATGATCCTCCTCATCGTCCTCAGATACGAAACATCATCATCCTCATCCTCAGATGGGAAGTCCTCATCATCCTCTTCATGTTTCTTCGTAAGTCAGATGGTCTCCCGTCTTCGTCTACGCTCTCTCATTCTGTTCCTTCGTCGCATGGGTTCACCTCTCTGAAGCTCTTAACCCCCAATGCCGCCGCTCGGCTCTCCACCGGTCCGCTCAGGTACGCGCAGGCGGGCTATGACCGGGCACTGGAGCGTGCGGACGTGGCCTGGAAGGCTCGAAGCCTGCTGGACAGCGGCACCCCGGCCCACGAGGCGCGCGAATGGCGGCCAGGTGAAACCCTTATTCAATCTTCATCTTGCCATTCCACTGTAAACGGGACAACAAGGCAATTTGCTGTTGTTTCCACGCTGTACTTTGAAGACGCGCCTTAGGCCTTGCCAGACAGCCGAAATGCTGTATACGGGTTTGTCAACACGCGCATCGTGCTTGGGAAGAACGTGCGCACGGGGTCAGGCCATGCCAGACACGGCCGTGCGCCGTTCCAGGTAGAAGGCAGTTCCGAGGTCGATAAGCCTGAGTGGAAGAAGGGATATTGGATGGAGCCTAGCTGGTGCAAAGGTCCTGTGGAGCCAGGCAACATCAATGAAATCACTCGAAAGTGCCGAGTTCAAATGGGAATGTGGTGGAATGGCCCGGCCTTAAAAGCCAAGCGGACACTGACATTTGGGTGCAACGCATTCATAACATGCAAGGTCCTACAACCATGGAAAACGACACTGCAAAACCCCAAGAACGATAACGCCAAGAGATATCATGCGCGTTTGATCGGAGATTTGCCGGTCGGCCTTCAATGGAACCTCCAGATTCACATCCCACGTGCAGATCCCGGATCGCGGCGGTCAGGCCATCACTGTGAAGCAGCAGTGCGACCGCGTTGTGGCGGCTGATGGCGCTTTGTGCCAGATGCTGAGGGACTTGTCTTCCCAGTATACTGAGGAGGCCGCAGGGTTCGGGATGGCGGCAAAGCAGGTGCTTTTCGTTCGGAGCTCCTCGCCGGCCTGGCCGTTGAAACGTGAGGTGTAAAGGCAGCAAGGGGTGCCATGATGGAACATGTGTGCGGTTGGTTGAAGACTTGGCTCACTCACTCAACCAACTCTGGGTGGTTCACTTGCTGAGTGAAGGCATGAACTGGAACTGCACATGGCAGAGATTGGTTCCTCGGCGTGAAGGAAGACCCTTTAGATACGTTTAGTGCCTTTTAACAGGTTGTTACATCATACTTGCAGTCATGTTTTGAGGGGAAGTGTGTTGCATGGCAGGGAACAGTAGTTGAAAGTTTAAGTTTGTAGTTCGGTGTATCATATTGTATAATCCACATATATATATACCTAGAACTTCGATTGTAATGTTTATTTTTGCCCCCCTGGTTGTTTTGGTCATTCGAGCAAATATCACAAAACGAGCGGTTCTTGCAAAGCACGAGCAGTTTCTGCTAAGCCACTACCCAGTGCCATTTTTTGATCAAACAATGGGACACTATTGGCACCGATGCATGTGAAGTGCCCCTGTGTTTGCAGGTTGTAAGGGGTCCCTCATCCCTCCCTGTGCGTGGTGAACTCCAGGTACAGCAGGATTGACCTCAGCAGCGAGATCTCAAAGGCGTCATGGTGGGTCATCGTGTTTCTAATTCTCCAGGTAAGTGCATGCATGGATGAGCTGTCTGCACTGATGGTTCTGCTGTGCATGTAGCCTTTTGGCTGAAGTGCAACAAGGGGTGCGTGCACAAGTCTTTTTGGTGCTAGTCTCATGAAGGACCAGGAGCTTCACGAGGCTGTGCTTGAGGTGGTTAAATCATGGCAGAGAAATGGGGTTCTATGCCGTGCCGCCAGTTCAGGCAAACTAGCCAATGTTGGGAAGCCAAAGGCCCTTAACAGAAAAGATATCGATATCAACTTTGACATCCTGGCTCCGATCGTCAGCAACTTTGGAGACTAGACTCGCATTTTTAAGCCCATGAATGACCTGGCAATACTGCATCATCCATCATGCTGATCCCACCTAGTATCCCCCATTAACGCATCTTTCCGGCTGAGGACTCCGGCCTTCCGTCCAAATGTTGGCAGAAGCAGTCCAAGAGTTTTTGATCCTCTGCCGACCGCGTGGAAAGGCAATTCCATGCAGCAGGGTGCTTATGGGGGCATTGTGAAATGCACGCTGTTCACATATGCGCGTTCTATGTGCGGACTGTGTCAATGCAAAGTGATCCACATGTACTTTCTCACATACGGCCTAAGGAGCAGTGGTCATGTGTGAGGCTTGGATCTTGAAAGGCCTGATTTCGTTGTTTAGCCGGACGGCTAAACGTGGACACCGCCCTCGTGAAGAAAACCTTCGTCGTTTGATGGAAATGGCAGAGATTCCTATACCACTACTTTCCCCTCGTACGAGTCCTAGTGAGAGATCACATGCATAAAAACAATGGCCATGCATATATAAAAGTGTGTCCCCAAACTTCAATTATCAGTGCTTCCCTCATGCTCTCAGGTTCCACCCAGAATCTTGCTGATCCTAATGCTGGGGATGAGGTGGATGAGCTGGATGAGCATGATGGTGGTGAAGAGGGTTGGGAGAGTGAAGAGGAAACCAATGACCCGTGTGTAGAGCCTGATCCTGAACCCATGAAGCCAGAGCCAGAACCAAAGAAGGAGCCTTTACCTCATCAAAGAATTTCACAAGTTTTGTCTGCATAAGATTCCACCAATTTTTCCTCTCACCTGTGCTGTCTACCAATTTTTGCAGGACGCAACTGCCCGCTCTGGTCATCCTGCCCCAGAAGGTGGAGGCTAGCTTAGAGTGGTGTGCCATCTTTCCAGTCAGGTAAGTAGAAGGAAACAAGATCAAGCCATCGCTAGGACCAGTGCGCCCACGTACCGATTCAGTCCCCTTCTGGGAGAAGGGTGAGAAAGGTGCCCTCGTTGCATATGGTCAAATTTGTTCATGCAACTGATCAGGGATCTGAGATTGCAATGAATCTTAGGTGAGATTGCAGCTGATCTCACAGATTTGCCCGTGAAGCCCCATGAGCACTACATTGTCAAGAACCTGGCGCACCACTTTGAATGCCTGAAGTGCAATCGTCGTGGACTGATAGAGAACATCAAAAAAGTCGACTGTGTGGGTGACAAGGTTCCCTGCAAGAAGGACAAGGATGGCAAGGGCCCTTCTGAACACATCGAGGCCGAGAAGAAGGAGACCAAGGCTGAATCGGCCACTTCGGGAGGAGGTCAATGAGCCAAAAGAGAACCAGAGTCCAGATGAAGACCATGCTTTATCTCTAGCACTGGAGGAAGAGCTGCGGCTCCAACAGCTTTTGGAAGAGGAGTTGTGCCTGGCAGTCAGTGGGGATCCAAGCAGGACAGAAAAGGATGAGGATAAGGAAGTGCAAAAAGCCATTGCACTGTCGATGGAGGAAATGCCAGGGGCTGGCGCCAATCCTGATCAAAGTGGTCAGGAAGCAGTGGAGCCACCTGCAACAAAGACTCCTCCTTCACAGGAGGAACTGAGCTGCATGCGAAACTTGATGGACATGGGCTTCAGCAAGCTTCACGCTGTTTGGGGAGTGAAGCGGGCCAAGCTCAAGGCCTTCAATGGCATCAGCATCAACTTAGACCTTGCAGTGCAGCATGCCACATGGAGAGCCGATGCAGACTTTCTGATGGCTAAGCGACAGAAGCTAGAGGAGATCACGTTGCCGGCCGAGATCGAGAAAGGTGAGAGTCAAGTGGTTGCCAAAGCTCCTACACCTTGTGCTTTGCCTGCATTTTTTTACAGTGCCACATGCAGAAGAGACAAAAATACTTTGCCAGTCAACAGCTTTTTAGGTCACAACAAAGAATTGCTTTTGAATGGTTTTGACACGTTGGACCTCAGGTATGGATGCAGTCGAGACTTTGCCTATGCACACCAATGAGATTGAGGCCATCGTGGAAGAGCACGCGGCCATCACTGCTCAAGAAGTGGCTCTTCTGTCTGAGGTTGAACCTCCTTTCCTCACTACCCCAACTTTGCTCGATGAAGAGGCTGATGCTTTGGAATTTCTGGAAGAAACAGGAGTCTTGGAGAAATCACATTCTGAAGTCACTCTTCGCTACGGAGAATTGCCTCCGACACCGAAGAAGGAGCCTGAAGTCAATGGTGTCAAGGACACTTGTGAAGTACGAGCAGGCACTGAGGTGGAGGGTGTGCAACCTGTGCCACAAGTTGCTACATCAGACCCTTCTGAAGCTGTAGAGGAACCTGCAGCCAATGGACCTGCAGTTGAACAAGTCGCTCCATCAGACCGTTCTGGGGTCGCTCCATCAAACAGTTCTGGCGATGCAAAAGAACCTGCAGCCAATGGACCTGCAGTTGAACAGGTCGCTCCATCA